GAACTGCATTCAATTTTGTATTGAACTTTTAGTAGAATGTGTAGAAAAATGAGAATTGAGAAGGTGGCACTTGGGGAAGATGATCAGGGAGTGCCCTTATAAAAGAGATAAGTACCCTTATAAAAGAGACCCCAAACAGCTCTCTTGCCCCTTGTACCATGTGAGGATGCAATGAGAAGATGATCATCATCTCTGAACCAAGAACATGCCCTCACCAAACACCCAATCTGCTGGCATCTCAAATTTGGACTTCCCAGCTTCCAGAACAGTGAGCAATAAATTTCTCTATCCAAGCCACCCAGTGAGGGTACTTGGTTATAGTAGTCTTGGCAAATTAATAGCCAGTTTACGGTATTTTCATTATAGAGCACTCAAATCTGAAATTATAAAATTTATTTTTAACCTATCACCTGTCTCCCCATACTAGAATGAGAGTTCAGTAAGACTTCACCTTTTTAATTGACCTCAGTTTGTTTCTCTTGTATCCAGGAAATTATTAACAATTGGAATCTGCTCAATAAATATCTATACGTAACAAATTAATTTCTCTGAGAAATGAAAAAAGAGAGAATTTTCTTTGAGAGGCATGGAAAAACCCAGAAGGCAATGCTGGTGAATAATGGAAGAGGATTCTACCTGACTGTCCCTGTCTTCAGGGGGCAAATATTAGGCTCTTGAAAAGCTAAAAATTTTGTATAAGGGCAAGAGTGGGGCACAGAAGACTGGCTCAGGAGCAGATGAGAGAGGCTTGTCCACACCACATAGCACAGATGCAGATGTGTTGTTAGCACTATGTGAAAGAGAAAGTTGGAATGAGAGCAAGGATTGAAGGTTGAAATGCTTTAACATTCTTTTGGATAGCAAGCCAAAATCTCATGAGGATAAATGTACGAAGAGAATGCTTAGGAGTGTCTGAAATAATATATATCAGGTTATCCTGCTATGTACATTGTGAGTCACAAGAGGGAACTGAAACTCACTGTGGCCCTCCCCAAATATAGGGAACGATTTAGGGCTATTCAAAATGATTAGGATTGGCAACTCTGACACCAGAATAAATGGTTAGTCGCTTTTTATTTTTTTCTTCTTCTTCTTTTGCCATTTTAAAAAAGTATAGTTTAATGGCCATTATTGTTTTACTCATGTTAGGTTTATCATTATTACAGTTAACCTCACGTTTACTTTGGCTAGTATCCCTCTGAAAATCTGACATTTCAGTTGGTTTGGATTTGCCTTTTTGGTTGTGCTCCATTAATAACTTAAATTTTAATAGTGCTTTTTATCTTATAAAGAATTCATGTTAAAATTTTTACCCTTAAACAGCTCTGAGAGATAGGCAGATATTATTTCTACCTTATAGGTGAGGAAACTGAGGCACAGTAAATATAAAGGACTTGCCCAAGGCTACAGGCATGAAGAATGGCAGAGCTAAAACTATACTCAAATGCAAGTCTTTTGATTTCTACAATGCGTTTCCTATATAACATGGCAGCCACCACTAAGCCAGCCTGTATGGCAAACTTCCAGTGTCTACACACATTAGATGTATTTTTATCTTCATGTATACACATACTCCCCAGTTGTCAAATAGAAATTAAGGGGGAAAAATCAAGGAGAACTCACAATAGTGTTGTGTGCTGCATTCTCAGGAAAAAAAGAAGCAAGAACACCCACTACCACCATTTCCTCCCAGCAAGAATTCTGAGGTCCCTTTTTCCACCAGGTATTTGTATAGTATTACACAAATCTGATGTTCTTTGAGTGATTTGAGAGAGCCACCACGCCGCTTTGACCACCGAAAACATCCTCAGGGACAGGAGGGAAATTAGTAGGGATAAGTCAAGCAGTAAATTCTAACCAGGGCCCCTATATAAATATTCAAGTTAAAACTGAACAAAGTTTATTTAAATAAAGAGCCAGAGAAATGGCAGATGGCAGACCTAAGGAGTTGGTTTCAGGGAGAGAAAAGCCAAGCCTCTGACAGGAAGTAATGGAAGGAAAGCAGGATCCTACTGGGTCTTTGGTATTCAACTGGTCTTCCAGGCATTCTGCCTCCTTCCAGTTTTCCAGTACTTCACTAGATTGTCCTGGTTTGAAGATTATTAACTATAATCCAACACTAATCCAACACATTCACTGAATTGAGGGAAGAGTGAAGGGTCAAGTGTGCCAGCTTATTATTTTAAAAAAATCACCACAAGTTTAAGATTTGATAATTGAATTCATGCATTCCCAAAGGCAGAATTAGGTCTCTGCTCATACATTACCAGGCATTACCACACATTTCCGGTGTGGAATAACACTTTCAGCTCTCTAAAGAATACCTTAGAGAAACTGAATGTTAGAGCTAGACAGGATCCAAAAGAAAAACTAAGCTCTACTTTTAGTAAATGGAGAACTTGAAGAGATTTTTGTTTAGATACACATAACTAGACAAGAAATAAGGTCTCAGTACTGAATTGAGTGGAAAAAGAAAGAAACAGATGTATGTATAATACTCTCTAATTTGTGTTTTAAATGGATGTATATTATATTGCCTATTCATAGATTATCTCTGAAAAACTATGTGGAAATAATAAGAAAAACTATTGCTTCCAAGAGAAGGGATTTGAAAGAACAGAAGTAGAAGGGAAATTTGTTTTTTTTTTCCCGAGAATGTTCTTTGAATAATCACTAATATTGAATACACCTGACACCCCTGCTAAAATAATATAAGTTCCATGAGAGTAGGGCTCACTGGGCATATTATAATCATTTTTACAATCCCTGGGTGGGCCTAGCATTGTTTCTGGTAAGAATTCAACAAATTATTGTTGAGTACTTAAGGGCAGATTTTCTCTTTCCACCTAAAATAAATTTGGCTATTAATGAGTATAAATCAATATTAATTTGTGCTTTTTTTCCCAAATGTTTTATAACAATCATTCTTAGAGGAACAGAAAATAACAGTTTTCTATCTGCTCTCATTTTACCGGTGTGTGTATATATGTGTGTGTGTGTGTGTGTGTGTGTGTGTGTGTGTGTGTATATATATATAATATATAATTCAGAGTATGCTTGAAATAAAACAGTTCTTAAAAATATTCTAATTTATGAAATTAAGAAAGTTTTATAAATCATACTGTTGACAAATGTTTCTTCATTATTTCCCCGAAGGAGAAAAAAAATGATTAGTTAGTATATTTAGAAAAACTGGAAAGCATGAACTTTGTGGTAGGGATTCATATTGAATATTTTCTTAGGTGCTTTTTATTAACCAATCCTTCTGCAGCTTGTTCACACTCTTGGCATTACCCTTGAATAGGATGTCGCAAATTCAACGCACATTTTCTAAGAAGTGGGAAACTATGATCCAGAATTAAGTAAGGCAGAAGTAAAGAAAACAAACTCCCATGAAAATGGAAATTAAATTACATATAGAGAGTTTTTTCAAAGTGTTCCGGAAGATTGTGAAAAATATGCCATCTCTCTCTCTCTCTCTCCCCCCCCCCCACCCCCAGCATTATGATGAGACTCCACTAGGATTCCAATTTTCATAAAGTCCCTTAATAAAGTACGAGAATACCGCCGGTGTAGGACCATGAGGGTACCACGGGTTGGGGGTGGGGCGGGATAACGGAGCAGATCCCAGGGTGCGTCGCGCTTGCCCCCTAGTGTGCATTTCCTTGTACTGCATCTCCCTGGGCTGTTCGCTCTTCAACCTAGAGTGAATCTAAACAGAGGTCTTCTCAAGCTGGTTTTTATAAACAGTCAAACTTCGTTTGTATTTTTCCTGTTAACTGCTAATTAGTAAAGAGTACTGTTAAAGGACTTAGAAAGAGTTTGTCTTGTTAATAGTCAAACATCTCCCTCTTATTTATGTAATGGATTTGCTTTGCAAACTCCTTTATTTCATAAAAGTGCAAAGATAAAATTTAATGGACTCTAAATCCAATTAACCAAATTCTAAACTAATGACTTCATAGTATTTAAATCGAAAAAAGAAATGTTCATAGTCGTAATTGTGATTTTTTTTAAAATAACATTTCAGGGCTATTACATGGAACATCTTTTCTCCAACTCAGAAGACCTCTGCAGGTTTTGGTAGTGTTTGCTTTTACATTTATTTTACATTTACATTCATAGTTATATTTATTTGTGACTAAATAAAAGCATACAAAAAGCATCTATCAGGTGAAAAATCTCTGTCCCTGGCATAAAGCCTATAAATTCTTAACTATTTCCAGTTAGGAAAGAATTCTGGCACTTATTAACAGAGTATAAATGCCACCAAATTTGCAGAATCTAGCCTCTTAGGATTAGGTTTTGGGCAACTGAAGAACACCCCAATACAAGTGGAATGAAGAAGATAAAACATTATTTCTCTATTGGGTAAACAAATTGTAAATTCAGGGATTGGCATGGTGCCTCCGCATTCATCCAAGGCTAAAGTTGCTTCAAACTTGTTGCTTTACCAAGCTCAGTGCATACCAACCAACCTCTTGTCCCAGGTGCCTGATCCACACCAGGCAACATATCAGCATTCCAACAACAAAAGGAAGAAAAGGAAGAACATGCTCATTTCCTATTAGGATTCTTCTTGGAAGTTGCACTGATTGTAACTACTCCCAGTCTGCCAGGACTTTGTCACAAGAACACACACCTAACTGAAATGTCTTCATTAAGGACTGCTGCTCTATTCACAGCTGAAAATCAGGGCTTTCAATACTAGGTAAAAAGTGGGGGCAGAATTGATATTTGGAGACCAGAAGTCTCTGCCATAGCCTCTGTTCTCACCAGTTATCTTCTTTTGACAGAACTCACACTTCCGGTTTTTATTTTGGTTTGTTTGGGTTTTTCTTTTCCTGTTAAAAAGTAGATCTTTATTCCACCTGCCTTCCATTCATTAAGCTCTGATGTTAAAGACTTTACTTCCCCTGACTCTTCCCCATTCTTTCTCTAGGCAAATGGCAGTGCCTTGGCCTGCGGGTTTTCACCATGTTGGTGCATTCCTTCCACAGGTGATGGCTGTGCCACCTGGGCCTCTGCAGCTGCTGGGAGTGCTGCTCACCATTTCCCTAAGCTCCATCAGGCTCATTCAGGCTGGTGCCTACTATGGGATCAAGCCACTGCCACCTCAAATTCCTCCTCAGATGCCACCGCAAATTCCACAATACCAGCCCCTGGGCCAGCAAGTACCTCACATGCCTTTGGGCAAAGATGGCCTTGGCATGGGCAAGGAGATGCCCCATTTGCAATATGGCAAAGAGTATCCACACCTACCCCAGTATATGAAGGAGATTCAACCGGTGCCAAGAATGGGCAAGGAAGCAGTACCCAAGAAAGGCAAAGGTAATCTCACACTGGTATGCTGTCATCAAACCACAGCTTCCCAACTTCTTAAATGATGGAGGGGGATAGAAGATGAATTTTTAAAACTTTTATTTTAGGAACTGACATTTATTAAATTCCTACTTTGTTCCAAACTCTATTCTTGAAAAATTCAAGTCTTAAAGAAAGATTCATGGGTTTGATCACCAGCACCACACACACAACTTAAAAAAAAAAAAAAAGATAAAATTACAATTTTATGTTTGATTTTGTTATTTTAACTAGCGTTAGATGAATCAAAATATATTTAATCACAAATACTCTATCCCCTTATTTATTTATTTATTTTTTATTTATTCAAACATTCATCAATTAGGACTGGGAATGTGGCTCAGGTAGAACACTTACCTGGCATGCATGAAGCCCTGGATTCAATTCTTAGCACCCTCCAAAATTAAAAATAATTTAAAACAACAACAACAAAAAAAAAATCCAGCAACTATTCAGGGAGAATCCATTTTTGTGTCAGGCTCTGGGCCTGATGTTACAGGATAAAGCAGTAGAGGAAAAAAAAAAGAAAGAAAGAAAAAAGAAAAGAAACAAGTCACTCTTCTGAACTAGGGGAACAGTGTTGTAAGGACCAAATGTGTTAAGAGAAAAACCACATGAAAGCATCTTGCAAACTAGGTGTTAGATAAATGCAAGTGGCTTTAACACTGCTTTAATAAAGCTATAAATGTCAATCAATAAATCAGCAAAAGGGGATTAAAGAGTGCAGACTACATCTAGATGATACCTGAAGATTTGTCCCCATTACTTTCTGGGCATATTTATTAGTTGTTGAACATCTAAAAATGCCTATCACTATGATAGATGTTTTCTTATGTTTGGTCGGTTTATCTAGAGTTCTCAGAAATGCAGTATTGGTCTAAACTATGGAATCAACCTAGGTGTTCTTCAACAGATGAATGCATAAAGAAATCGTGGTATATATACACAATGGAATATTACTTAGCCTTAAAGAAGAGTGAAATTATGGCATTTGCCGGTAAATGGGCAGAACTAGAGAATATCATGCTAAGTGCAGTAAGCCAATCCCAAAGAACCAAAGTCCAAATGTTTTTGGTGACATGCAGATGCTAATTCATGATAAGGATGTGGTGGGCTTGGGAAAAATAGAGGTACTTTGGATTTGACAGAGAGAAGTGAAGGAAGGGGAGGGGTTTGGGGGTAGGATTGATAGTAGAATGGATTGGACATTATTACCTTATGTACATATATGATGACACAACCTGTGTAACTCTACATCATGTACAACCAGAAGAAGGAGAAGTTATACTCCATTTATGTATGATGTGTCAAAATGCATTCTACTGTCATGTATAACTAATTGGGACAAATTAAAAAATAAGAAAGAAATGCAGTACTGGTAGGAAAAACTGCTGTATCAGAATAGCAATGGCTTTTGAGGAAGTGGAGGTCACCCCGTAAGACCCTACAATCATGGGAAGATTCACTCTGGAGAACTGCTGGATTTGGTGTTCTGAGGCCTTGGGGCCTCAGTCCCAGAGAGAGACACCTAGTCATTTGACTTCCCTGAGCTTAATTGTCTTTATCTTTAAAATAAGGTTGTTGAGAAAAGCACTGACCTAAGGTAAGCAATGCTGAGTAAACGCTAAAGCAACACAGGAATTTTTAGTTGCTGTAGCTGGTCATTCCATATATCCTCAGTCACAACAGTGTATGTCCCAGGCACTGTGCTGCATGGCAGAGACTTCTGACAGAAAAGATGTGACCTTCCTCCAAACACTTCCTTGAATGGTAACTACACAGCTCACTGTTTGGGAATAACATTCCTTAATAGTTCTGTGATAGTGTCTCAGCATAAGAGAAGCATTCCCAATTTTCTTCTCTTTAGAAGCTCGTATGCCACTTAGGGGATTATTTCAGCTTCTTCTCCCCACTTCCTTTCTTAAATAGCTTGCCTGTGAGTTTTGGTACCTCTTGTACCCTTTCTCCTATTTGAAAAAATATAGAGTTCTATGGTTCTATTTTGTTCCCTGACAGTAGCTCTGTAAAAGTATAATGGTCAGGATTAAAATGTTATTATTAGTGAAATATTTCATTTCTTCATGCAACCTATTATTCCCAGAAGCAGGGGAGATTCAGAGTTGTGTTTATCTGCAGGGCACATACAGAACAATATAACAGCATGCACTTTGTATTTCAGGACTGATTCAAGAAGGCGTAATAACTTTCCTATATATCCTCTAATCATGAAATGTGCTGTATTATTCTTGCTGTACAGACAGGCAAGGAGAGGTGCTGATAGCAAAAGCTCTGCCGTAGATATCTCACGCTAAGACTAGAAAGATAAGCAGAGTTCCATGATCCTAACCAAGATCTCTTCTTTATCCAGACTGCTTGTCATCCAAAAATACCTTCCTTATCCCTCCTGTTTAAAAATCAAATTTGTATATAAGAAATAATTTGGGAAGTTAAAGAATTAATATTGGAGGCTTGGTAAATCCTACAGCACATTAGATAAATTACACAAATCCACTGGCTATAGAGAACAGATATAGAATGACGTTATTGAACTATGTACAAAATAAAATATTTTCATTCCTTCCTGAATCCACATAATGACTTCCATCATCACATCATATTGTATTTCAACACATGAGGAAATATCATTTGGTTCTAAATTATTATGTTAAAATATTATCCAGGCATAAAAAAGATAAATACCACATGTTCTCATTCTATATCTGGAATCTAAAACAATCAAACGCACTGAAGCAGATAATAGAATGGTGGTTACCAAAGGATGGGGAAGGGAAGATGATGGTTGAAGGGGACTAGGCCACAGGCAGGGGAAATATGGTTTCAAATGGTGGGGTTTTGGGGGGGGTTTTTTTTGTTTGTTTGTTTTAAGATCTATTACACAGTTTGGTGACTCTAGTTAATAGTAATGTATTATACATTTCAAAACTGCTAAGAGTAAATTTCAAATGTCACCATAAAAAATAAGCATTTAAGAAGATGGAGATGCTAGTTTTCTTGATTTAATTTTTCCAAATTATAGCCATAAATCATAACATGGATCGCAACTGATTAATATATACAATTATAACTTGTTGGTTTATTTAAATTTTTAAAATAAAATTAAAACCAAAAGATTATGGAAAAATAAAATATCACTTCAAGTAGGAGAAATAGAAAAATAAAACAGAATGACTCCAACACTAAGATATACATACACATATCTAGAACAAATAAGATGAAAATGCATATAAATGTCAAGTGTCTAAGTTCTGAGTTTTTGGGCAACTCTGAGTTTTCCTTATACATCTTTGAAGTTTCCAATTTCTCTATGATGAACACATCATAATATCTTCAAGTTTTGTACTTAGAAAAATGTTGCTTCATTACTTTTTAGCTTTTTTAACTTAACCAATGCTGATATAATCAGCTGCACATATCAGTTCTCAAAACAATACCTCAAATAGAAAAAAGAAATTACCACCCTGTACCATGTACAGCCAGAGGAAGTTGTATTCCATTTGTGTACAATGTATAAAATGCATTTTACTGTCATGTATAACTAATTAGAACAAATTTAAAAATTTTTTAAATAAATTTTTAAAAATTAAAAAGAAAACAGAAATTATCAGTTTGGTTTCTTTTATTTTGTTAATATTTATTTTTTAGTTTTAGGTGGATACAATATCTTTATTTTATTTTTTATGTGGTGCTGAGGATCAAACCCTATGCCTTACAAGTGCTAGGCAAGCATTCTACCACTTGAGTCACAACCCCAGCCCCTTGGTCTCCTTTAAATATTTATATTACACAGTCCTGGAAGATGAGCGCATTAGTTCTAGTCTTTCCTCTCAATAGTAAGATGTCTAAACAAAGATCACATGACTTTATTGAAATAAAAGATAACTAACCTCCCTCTCTCCTTCTCTTTCTCTCTCTTCCTCTCTCCTGCCCTCTACCTTTCCATCTTCTTTATCAGCAGAAATACCATTAGCCAGTTTACGAGGAGAACAAGGTCCCCGTGGAGAACCTGGCCCAAGAGGACCACCTGGGCCCCCTGGCTTGCCAGGTCATGGGATACCTGGGATCAAAGGAAAACCAGGGCCACAGGGATATCCAGGAATTGGAAAGCCAGGTATGCCTGGAATGCCTGGAAAGCCAGGAGCCATGGGAATGCCTGGGGCCAAGGGCGAAATCGGACCCAAAGGGGAAATTGGGCCAATGGGGATCCCAGGACCACAAGGACCTCCAGGGCCTCATGGACTTCCTGGCATAGGGAAGCCAGGTGGGCCAGGGTTACCAGGGCAACCAGGAGCAAAGGGTGAGAGAGGACCCAAAGGACCACCAGGACCTCCAGGCCTTCAGGGTCCTAAAGGAGAGAAAGGCTTCGGGATGCCAGGCTTACCTGGCCTGAAGGGTCCTCCAGGTATGCATGGCCCTCCTGGCCCTGTCGGACTGCCAGGAGTGGGAAAACCAGGTGTGACAGGCTTCCCTGGGCCCCAGGGCCCTCTGGGGAAGCCAGGACCTCCAGGGGAACCTGGCCCACAAGGCCCTATCGGGGTGCCAGGGGTTCAAGGACCTCCTGGAATACCTGGAGTTGGAAAGCCAGGCCAGGATGGGATCCCTGGCCAACCAGGATTTCCAGGTGGCAAGGGGGAGCAAGGACTACCAGGGCTGCCAGGACCCCCAGGTCTTCCAGGAATTGGGAAACCAGGCTTCCCAGGACCTAAAGGTGACCGGGGTGTGGGGGGTGTTCCTGGGGCTCTTGGACCAAGAGGAGAGAAAGGACCAGTAGGTGCCCCTGGAATGGGAGGACCCCCAGGAGAGCCAGGCCTGCCTGGAATCCCAGGTCCCATGGGCCCTCCAGGTGCTATTGGTTTCCCTGGGCCCAAAGGAGAAGGTGGGGTTGTGGGGCCACAGGGGCCACCAGGTCCCAAAGGCGAGCCAGGGCTTCAAGGCTTCCCAGGAAAGCCAGGTTTTCTTGGTGAAGTAGGACCCCCTGGCATGAGAGGTTTGCCAGGTCCTATAGGGCCCAAGGGGGAAGCTGGGCATAAAGGATTGCCTGGGCTCCCTGGTGTTCCCGGGCTGCTTGGACCCAAGGGAGAACCAGGCATTCCAGGGGATCAGGGGCTACAGGGCCCCCCAGGTATCCCAGGCATTGCAGGCCCTAGTGGCCCCATTGGACCTCCTGGGATTCCAGGCCCCAAAGGGGAACCAGGCCTTCCAGGGCCTCCTGGGTTCCCTGGTGTAGGCAAGCCTGGAGTGGCAGGCCTTCATGGCCCCCCAGGGAAACCAGGTGCCCTCGGTCCTCAAGGCCAGCCTGGCCTTCCAGGGCCCCCAGGTCCTCCAGGGCCCCCGGGCCCACCAGCTGTGATGCCCCCTACACAACCACCCCAGGGAGAGTATCTGCCAGATATGGGGCTGGGAATTGATGGTGTGAAACCCCCCCATGCCTATGGGGCTAAGAAAGGCAAGAACGGAGGCCCAACTTACGAGATGCCCGCGTTTACTGCTGAGCTGACCGCACCTTTCCCGCCGGTGGGAGCCCCAGTGAAGTTTGACAAGGTGCTCTATAACGGCAGACAGAACTACAACCCGCAGACGGGCGTCTTCACCTGTGAGGTCCCCGGCGTCTACTACTTTGTATACCACGTTCACTGCAAGGGAGGCAACGTGTGGGTTGCTCTGTTCAAAAACAACGAGCCCATGATGTACACATACGACGAGTACAAGAAGGGCTTTCTGGACCAGGCATCTGGGAGTGCTGTGCTGCTGCTCAGGCCCGGGGACCGCGTGTTCCTCCAGATGCCCTCAGAACAGGCTGCGGGACTGTACGCCGGGCAATATGTTCATTCCTCGTTTTCAGGATATTTATTATATCCCATGTAAAAAAGAAAAAGAAAAAGAGAGATTTAATAGAAGACAAGAAAATGATGCAACAAAAAATTCAGATGAAAAACATAATTGCTTCAGAACATTTATATAGTTGGAAAGTTATATTTAAGTGAAAATTCAGACCATCATGTACAAATAAAAACTAAGATGCATGTTTAATACTCTGCACAGCAGCTTGTCATTGAAAACAATGGGATAGATTTATGTATCAAGTACTGACACTTGTGTTGTACCCACTGGAATCACATTAGTTGTCATATGTTATTTGCTCTCATGATAACCTGCTTATTCAGATCAGTCAACATGCCAGTACAAAAGATCATAGCTAACCAAAGTCACTCACTCATATTGTTTCCTTTAAAGTATTTATAAATATGCCTTAGGGAAATGTCAGTGATAACAGTTACATACCATATTTACTTTCAGAATTTCCTCTCCATCTGTGCAGATACATTGCCATGGAATGTTCTGGGGAGTTCTGTAGTGTTACTGTCTCAGTGGGAGTCAGAGAGGGCCATAGAAACCTTAGTCCTTTGTAGTACTAGGGATATTTCTCTAGTGATAGAGGCTGGGGTTTTTTATTGTTGTTGTTGTTGTTTGTTTGTTTTGTTTTTTATCAATTAGAAGTTCTAGTCAGAATTGTATGTCTGGAGTCTGGAAAAAAAATTAAGGAAGAGTACCATTGTCCATCTGTGCTGAGCACTGGGGTAGGATGCCAATGTGAGGCCAAGACAGAGCCCCACAGGAGCTAACAAACCAGTGGGGAGACATAAGCAGTGATTAACTCATTTATTCCTCAAGGAGTTCTTTTAGAGTTGTTCTGTGACTTATTTTGTTTTTTCTTCCCTCTGTGTAATTTCTACCAGGGCCTAACCAACATAAATACCTGGAAGCCATAAGAAAAAAAAAGGAACCCTTCAGTAAACTTTTTAGCTTTATGGAATATTTATTATTGATAGGAATTATCAATTGAGTTTACATGCATTAAAAATTTGCCTCCTTTGCCCGTACACACAATCACAGTGAGGTTTTAACCATAGAGATATTGATATTCTTTAGTAGCTGAAGAATATCTCCCTGTTTAGTATGTAAGCAAATTCACGTGTCATCTGAGGTTTCAAATCAATTTCCAAAATTCAAGCCATTTTTTATTGGGGGAAAAATTCAAAATTCATAGGAAAATAAATCTCTATTTTAAAAAAGGTAATTAGGCAGTTTGATATTTTAAAAGAGGTGATGTTTCTAGGTGTAGATACAAAAAAGGAAAATAACTGTCTCTTCAGCAGCAATCTGTGGAAGAGATATCCAGAATGTCATAGGGCAACAATGGCCCAGGCCATCTATGTGGCCCTTTACTTAGCACAAGTCAACAAATAAAACAAATTTGAAAGGGAGACATAAATAGTTGTCCAGGTTTTCATTTAGGCACATAGTAGGTGATTTAAGCATTGCTTCAAATCTGCTATTAACTGTGGATGCTGTTAGACACATGGGGGAAATGATATGGAGCTGTAATAGTGAAATCATATATTTTTTCTCAAAAATTAATTGAGTACATAGTTATAGATGGGAAAATACACAAATAAAAAGCACAAGGAAATGTGTCTATGGAAAATTGCAATCATTTTTGGACTGGAGGTATAACAGTACACAAGGCCCTGGGATTAATCCCAGTACCACAAAATAATAATAATAATAATAATAGAAATTTTTTTTACTATCACAAAAGTTCTTCTCTTGGTCAAATATGTATCTTTTCCCTAAGAAGTATACAAGAAACATTTCTTCTCAGTTTTTTAAAAAGAGAAATTAGTTCGTTATCCCCAAATTTCTTATTCACTGTTAATTAGATAACACAATTTTCCCATTAAAAAGATATCCTACCCAACCTTCGTTTTCAAAGTGGACAGCATATATGTGGCAATATGTCCTTTGAGTTGGTCTTGAGGATGCTGGTTTGGGGCTGGTGACTTTGGAAGTAACTGGGTTCCTTCTGCTAATAGGTACACTGACATGGCTTGGAGGCAAGTCAGACCAGCTGATCTGTAAAATTGTATTTATCTGTACATGTATGGACTCTTAATTTCCATCAAGCAAGAGAGAAATTATCTCTTTGAAAACAAATTCACTTTTCAAAATATCTTCCAACTTATTTATTGGTTGTTACGCAATTGCCTATATATAGATAGATAGATATATAGATATTTGTATGTGTGTATGTTTATTATCAGGCATATGCTTCTAACTTTTAGATGGAGGAGGAGCAAAATTTATGCCAGATACTGTGTATTCTACAATGGTGCTAATCTAAAGCTAAATGATACTTCATTTAATTTAAAACAGAGTTTTAAGTAATTATCTATGTACCTGTGTTTCCCTTTTGAGTGTTGCACATCATGTTAACACATTAATGTAAAAGCAGATAAAATAACTGCATGTTCTAAAGTCTAGGGATAATAGTATGATCTCTATTTCATTCAAAAATATCTAAAATTTTTCCATGTGAAATGGACCAAACTTGCATTTTCTTATTTAACTACAGAGTTTTAATGCAGCATGACATCCTCCAGGGGAAAAGAGTGTCTGTAGTGGGTGACAGTCCTCACATATTTTACAAAATATAATGAATGGTGAACAGACTGGTAACTTGTTTGAGTTTCCATGATAGATTTGAGATTTAATGGCAAATCATTTTTATTTAAATTTTTGTACTGATTTGAAAAAAAAAAGTCATTAAATATCTTTGAAAGTATATTTCTCATCTTGTTCATGTTGCTCTTTGATGATGTATTAACCTGGTAGGTCCCCTCACATATACATTGTAGCAAACAGCAGCTGAATTAGAGGCTGAACAGGACAATTTGTTATTCCTCTTTGACATAACAGCTCTGGATTTAAGCAGTCCAGGGCTCAATGGTAACCCAAGCAGGGGCCCAGTTTCCTTCTATCGTGTTTCTCTTCCACCCAGATATGTTGCCCTCCTCTCCGCAGTCTAGGATGGCTAACATCAGACACAGCCCAGCTAATGGGAGGGTGGAGAAAACAAAAGGGGAAGGTGTGTTTTTTGTCTTGAAAAACTCAAACCAACCACTGCATAGAGCACTCCCTCCCACATGCATTGCCTGGAATGTAGTCACCTTGCCAGCGAGCTTCGAGATAGTGTGGGAAACTGAAGATTTATTCTGGGTAACTCCATGCCCAGCTCATACCCAGGAGGGTACTATTAAGAAGGGAAAACAGATAATAGGACACAGGTAACTGCTGCATGTGCAACATACATCAGCTAAGAAAGGACTGCCACAGTCCTCTCTTCTCCCTCTCTTCCGCCACATCAGAGCCACATATTGGAAAGGGAGATGGTGCTGCATGTAGTCACAGACCTGTTTCAAGAATCTAAAGGTCTCAGTAAGTATCATCAATAAGGAAATAACTCTTTCGTGATGATTTATAAAGCCCTGAATGACTGTAACTTATCACATCTATAATATGAGAAAGGGACTGTTTAAATCATTGGGCGGGCAGGTATGTACCACCAGGTAACTTCTTTACGCCTTCAGTGTGCAAGCTCAAGACCACAGCTTCCATTCCCATATAGCCCAGTGGCTCTATTTTATTCCAGAACTATTTTTGGAAGGTCTGTCATTCGGAAAACACAACCATCACATCTTGTTGGCTTATGTAGGAAGATAGAAGGTTGAGCACAGGAGACACAGCAGGGAGGATTAATGGTTAGAATTCAGAATGCTGGACCAATGGGGCCAAACCATCATCACTGTGACGGAATAAAGAAACTCAAAATCGACATCATATTTACAGTACGTGTGTAGTAGCCCTTTACGTTAAACACAAAGTAGCCCCTATTGTGTGCCTGGTACACTACATGATCTGGGGCATAAAAAGCAACAGAAAACATAACCCTTCTCCTTAAAAATATTATCTTCTGCTTGGAGGATCTCAAGATGTTTGTTTTAAAAGTCAAAAGAGCAGGGTGATGTGAAGGTGACTGAATGCATACAAACTAGATAAATCCAGAAAGAGAAAGACTGATCCATGCTGCCCTTCCTGGGAGGACCACTCTGTCTTCCTGCTGTATAAGCTCTTCCTCGCCCCTCTGGACACAGAGGAAGCTCTTCCTTCCCTTTGCACAGTCCCTATTGCCTAGATTGAGGCAACTTCTCCCCACATCACCACCCTGCTTTGTATGTTCTATCCCTTCACTATTTTTTTTTTCTGCTCTGTCCATGGCTATAATTAAAAAACATGATTCACTGGGGACAGGCACTTCATTTTTTCATCTTTGGATCCACACCCATCTCAGAGTAATGGTCCCAACACTAAGGTTGAGGAAATAATGAATTTCACAAGGATGCTGTGGGAAAGGGTCCTCAGTGGAGGTGAGGTTAGACTGAATGGTAGGAAACTCCCTTCCAGCTCTGGCATTCCATTATTTTACAGAGGCTAACTATGGGATAAAACTTAATTTCAGCTGGGCACTGTGGCACATGCCTGTAATCTCAATCAAGAGGCTGAGGCAGAAGGAAGGATTGTGAGTTCAAAGCCATCAGCAACTTAGAGATGCCCTATGCAACCTCACTGAGACCCTGTCTCTAAATAAAACATTTTAAAAGGGCCGGGGATGTGGCTCAGTGGTTAAGCACCCCTGGGTTCAATCCCCGGTATAAAAAAAAAATGTAATTTCAAATAATTTATTGGAGGTGGTTGCTTAAAGAAATGAAGAATTTGAATAGAGGAAACATGAAGGTATTCCAAGAGGAAAGGAGAAATAGCCTTTCCTTCTCTAAGAGGAGGAAATTGGTGTGGGGAGGGCTGGGGCAGTGCTAAGTCAGGTGTTGGGAAGGGAAGATCAGGGGAAATGTCTCAACTAGATTAGAGCCTCTATCCAAGGACTAGTGAAGGAAGTTGAATAACCAAAGGAGGGTCAGGTGATCCAACACTTTACACATAGGCAAGAGATGTTTCCATCTTATCTAGTATGAAATCAGATGATATTGTAGGTCGTTAAGTGAGAAAGTGGTGTAAAAATCAATATTTTATTTTTAAAAAATGTTGATGATTGTATGATGACAACATCAGAAAAGGGAAGGTACACATTGTAAAACCACTTAGGAGACCAGAGCAGCTTTCCTTCAG